TATTTTTGCCCCCCCCCCCCACCCCCCAGGAGCACCCCATAAGCCTCCTAAAGGCTATGCATGCCATTTTTTGGACAAAAAACAGGCTGTTTCACGAAAAACAGGCCATTTTTGGAAGGTCTGCAGAGTGCAATTTTTTTAAAAAAATTTCCTCTTCAAAATCTTGGTGCATCTTGTACTCTGAAAAATAAGGTAAGTGGTTCCTAATCATCTGAATCTGTTCTTCAGTGAAATCAAGTTCAGGTGATTCATGTCTGCTAGGAACAGTTGATATCAAAGTAACTTTTCATCTAAACACAGACAAAATGTTTACTAGAAGGCAATTAAATTCTTGGATGCAATGGTATACTTCCTTCATCACCTGTGAAAGATGACCATCCAGAAGAAACCATCAAAGTCACATAATATCAAGAATATTTGCCTCAGTTCTACAGCAACCCTGTTATAAGAACACATGAACACACCTCTTGGATGAAACCAAAAGTCCTTTTAATCCAGAATCAGATTTCCAAAAGTTCCCTAGCCTAATGTTTTGGGGACTTCCTTAAACAGTCAATAAATTTGTGTTGTTACTCTCCAGTAATGGATATTCATACTACCTTCTTGGATCATGACTTTCTGTGAAACCTTCAAAGGCAATGGCCTCAACTAATATCTGACCATTAATCTAATCTTCCTTTAAAAGCCACATAACAATGGGCATCATCTTTAAACATAGAATAGAATAACAGAGTTGGAAGGGACCTTGGAGGTCTTCTAGTCCAACCCTCTGCTTAGGCAGGAAACCCTAAACTATTTCAGACAAATGGCTATCCAACAGCTTCTTTAAAACTCCCAGTGTTGGACAATTCACAACTTCTGGAGGCACATTGTTCCACTGATTAATTGTTCTAACTGTCAGGAAATTTCTCCTTAGCTCTAAGTTGCTTCTGTCCTTGATTAGTTCCCACCCATTGCTTCTTGTTCTACACTCAGGTGCCTTGGAGAATAGTTTGACTTCCTCTTTGTGGCAACCCATGAGATATTGGAACACTGCTATCATGTTTCCCCTAGGCCTCCTTTTCATTAAACTAGACATACCCAGTTCCTGCAACCACTCTTCATATGTTTTAGCTTCCAGTCCCCTAATCATCCCTAAATATCTCCCAAAGCATAACTTGGTCTGTTAATCAGCTTTTAAATTGGAGGTGGTGATGGTGCCAATGTTGGAAGAAAGTTGCTACAACTCCTTGATCATTTCTGTTGCTCTTTCCTGCACCACTTATACCATGTGCCGTTAAAATGGCATGCATCCAACCCAGCAAGCAGGAAGGGGAACTAACAAAGAAGGATAACTAGTAGTCTTCACTTCTGCTTTTATTCTGGGAGAATTCCATGAGGGCTAATTACCTGAGTGCAGTTTGGTTATGGTACAGCTGAGAGACATAGCAGTCAGAGAGCCAGGAATGGGTGTGAAGGAAGAGCACATTGTAGACGACAAGACACAGTATCAGCATGGTCAACTTGAGCTCGAAGTTCATGTGGAGGAAGAGGGAGCACGAGAGGAATCCCAGGACACAGCAGTAGATATAATACTGAGGGAGGGAGGGAGGGAGGGAGGGAGAGAGAGAGGGAGAGAGAGAGAAGCTATTGGTGAGATTGGTAGATCCATTAATCAAAAGAAAAGAAAAAAGAGAATTGATTAAAGCGCTCAGCCTTACCGGCACACTGAAGAGGGAGTTAAACCGAGAGAATTCCTGTACAGTATTCATGCTTGATAAGGTAGAATTTTCAAGCTTCACAAAGCATGAGGTTTCTGGCATAAAGAACTAGGAAGCAGAATTAGAGAGCACATTAGAATGGAGGAGGGGATAGAAATTCTTCTGCTCTGGACTAGATACCAGAGGAAATGCATGACTTAGATTTGGCCAATTTGCCAGGGATTCTACAACCTCTGTATGTTTCTCAGGAATAGCATCACTATGGTAAAAGCAATATACAGTACCACAGTGGCCTCTATCAATGGCCAGAGAAGGAGTATTGTTCCTCCATCAGATTCCTCCATCCTGAACCCTTGCAGTATCTTTTATATTCAGATTACTGGAGCAAAGGCCAGGTAGAGGATTAATAGCAGCCGTTGAGCTACGGTGGCATAGTGGTTAGAATGCAGTACTGCAGGCTACTTTTGCTGACTGCTTGGCTGCCTGCAATTTGGCAGTTTGAATCTCACCAGGGTTAATGTGCCTGGCCCAGGTGGGTAAAATGAGGACCCAGATTGTTGCGGGCAATAGGCTGACTCTGAACCACTTAGAGAGGGCTGTAAAAGCACTGCGAAGCGGTATATAAATCTAAGTGCTATGGCCATTGCTAATGCTTTTATCCCCATGCAGATTGAATTGATTGCACATCAAGCAACCTTGGCTGCAACAAGGTTAGACGGAGCGATGCTTAGATCAGGGGTGGGATTCAGCTGGTTCAGACCGGTTTGGGCAAACCGGATGTTAATTTTACATCTGGTTCACTGAACCAGTATTTGCAAGCACTAGCTGGCCCCGCTCACCCCTCGCATCCCCTCCCATCACAGGAGTCTCCACGTGGCCTGTTTTGGATGCCAGGTAAGTGTAGGGCCCTTGTGGAGGCTCTGAGAGGTTGAAAAATAGGCCTCCAGAAGTTCCAGAATCCAAAAATGAGCCCGTTTTTGGCCTCCGGAGGGGCTCAGAGCACAGGAAAAGCATTTTCACCCTTCCAGAGGCTCAAAGAAAGCCTCTGAAGCCTGGGGAGGGTGAAAACACTCCCCCCCCCTGCTATGGTGCAGGAGCCTGAGTAGGCCACGTCCACCCAGCAACTGGGCAGAGAACCAGTTGCTAAAATTTTTGAATCCCACCCCTGCCTTACATGGAAGAGTAACAGGAGATCTCAGAGGTATAGGTTAAACTAGGAAGAGGGTGGAGGTTCGTTCTCTGATCTTATGGGTTGGTTTCTGAACATTTCATTACCAGGCAAGGTAAAATCTCCAGCAGAGTTTAGAGGAGCCCCTAAACTCCACTGAAGACATTACCTAGCCTGGTAACAAAATGTTCAGAAACCAACCCACACGTTCGGAGAACGAACTTTCATCCTCATCCTATACCCGAGCTGCAGATGTTCGCCACTATTACAAAGCTGGACTGGAAATTGACAAAGCATCCTGAAAGAAGGCAGTGGCAATCTACAGTGGACCCAACGCCAAAAATATAACGTCTATAACTCAAGCACAGCTTGGAAGAAACTTTGCTTTTGAAAAACAATAGCACTATAGCACTTAGACTTATATACCGCTTCATAGTGCTTTTACAGCCCTCTCTAAGTGATTTACAAAGTCAGCCTATTGCCCCCAACAATCTGGGTCCGCATTTTACCCACCTCAGAAGGACGGAAGGCTGAGTCAACGTTGAGCTTGGTGAGATTTGAACTGCCGAACTGCAGCTAGCAGTTAGCTGAAGTAGCCTGAAGTTCTGCACTCTAACCACTGCACCACAGTGGCTGTTAACGAGCAATAGCACTTAGATTTATATACCATTTCCCTGTGCTTTACAGCCCTCTCTAAGCAGTTTATAGACACAGCACATTGCCCCCAGCAATCTGGATCCTCATTTTATCCACCTTGGAAGGATGGAAGGATGAGTCAACCTTGAGCGGGTGAGATTTGAACTGCCGAACTGCAGTTAGCAGTCAGCTGAAGTAGCCTGCAGTACTGCACACTAACTAATGTGCCACCTCGCAAAGAATGTAATCCATTCTTTCATCCATGAAGCCTCTTAGTACGGATTGGCAACTCCACATTAAAATTAAATGTCCTTTGGCTCTCCCGTGCTACAAGGAGTTCTTCCCAGGCATATTGAACCTTTCCTCTTCCTCCTCCCCCAAATATTCTATTTCCCTCTCCTTCCCATTCACTAGCGACGTACCAAGTTCAACACTGACATTGTGAGAACCACAAGAATAGTGATGATGCCCAAGGAGACACGTAGCCATGGTTGAGTGCAAACATTGGCCAAGATGGATGGAACCCAATAGAAGATCTTGGGACCTTTCAGGAAACATTTCTGTGTGCAGGAGGGAAAAAAAATGATGTAAGCATCCATAGAGCCAAAATCTTAGATTCCTTTCTCTTACTACTCCAACAATCTTCTCCTGACATTGGAAAATCTATTTTAAAAAAAGCAATAATAGTTCCCAACAGAAAAAAAGCCATATTGGCTTATACTATTTTTATTTCTTGTGTGTCCAATCACACTTGGCCAATAAATACAATCTATTCTATTCTATTCTATTCCATTCCATATTCTGTCCTGTCCTGTCCTGTCCTGTCCTGTCCCGTCCCATCCCATCCCATCCCATCCCATCCCATCCCATCCCATCCCATCCCATTCTATTTGTTTGTGCATGGGAACTATAATTTACTTTTCATTAAACAAAACAAAACAAAATAAAATGGAGCTCACATTAAAAAAAAATAGCCCAAACTCATCAATTTGCAAGGGGTCCTTATGTCCTGTGAGCTTGGTTGTTTTCTTGCAGGTATTTCATTACCCAAACTAGGTAACCAGTGGTGGGATTCAACTGGTATAACAACCAGTTTGATCCGCACATGTGCATTGCATTTGAAAACAGTTCTAAAGCCTACCTTCTACTGCAGCTCTGGTAAGTAAAACAGCTGAGGGCAGCAGTCCATTCTCCCATGCCTATCAGCTGGGCTTCAAACAAAGGAAATGTAGGACAAACTAGTGCAGGGGTGAGTGGGCGGGGCCAACTAATCACGGGAACTACCAGTTCGCCTGAACTGTTCCGAATCAGCTGAATCCCATCCCTGTTAAGGCAACATCATCAGTGCTGGTCTAGATTAACAGAAAACAACCATGCTCAGAGAACACCAAGGACTCCTGAGCTACAAATATTCTCCTTTATTGGTACCCATCAATACAATCAAAGTCATCAATATGGGGACAAGAATACAATAAATTAATACACAGAATTATGACTGTATTTGTTCCTTCCCTTGGACCCAATTATGTGGGAGCATCTTACCCACTTTGGCAAACCATGTCCTTATAACAGCTTTGTTAAGGCTTTTAGACAATTAGGTATGGTTATGTAACATCTATTTGCATAATAGGTGATAAGTTGCCTGGGAAAGCCAAAGAGGAAATCATCAAAACCATTAAAAAGTGAAAGTTGGAATATTTTGGACTTTTGATGTGACACCTGGAAAAATACGCCATACTTTACTTAATCTTCCAGGGAATGATTGAAGGCAAATGATGACGGATATGGCACAAGAAGAAGTTATAACATCTATGCGGGGATTTTGTAAACTACTTCTCCCAAGTAGGAGGTGCACCCAAAGTCATATACCACCCTAGTTGTATTTTTAATATGGATTGCAGGTAAGACATGACTTTCTTCTTTGCTCATGTCTCTCCTGTAGAAATGTGCTTACACCTCACCTTTGCTGAGTCCAAGGGAGAAAACATAAGAGGGCTTAAACACTTTTGATACTTTTCAAAAATGACCTTGCTCCACATGGAGATTACAACTTCAAAACCCAACCCCAGAGGCAATCAGTCCCTTCCAATCAACCCTAAGAATATGGCCATCTTTTAAATTTGTCCGCAGAAGCTTTGTTCCCAAAACTATAAAAATACAATGGACTACAAAGCTACAATGATCCTGCTCATTGCCTGATTAAAGATCTCCATGAGGTTTCTCCTCTGAGGTATCCCCTCCAGAGACTTACCGCCAGGTGACCAGAAAAGCAGGTGAGAAGGAGGAGGAGAAACAAGAAGAAAGAAATTCCATAGGAGATCCCCAGTGCTTCTGTTCTGGATGGAAAGAATAAACAAAGAATCCAGTTGGCTGGTGTTTGTGTAATTCAATGTTCATTTTTGCTTTTATTGATCTTGAAGAAGAAATAATGACCTCCTGGCATTCTATGCAGTGGTGGGATCCTGCCGGATTAACAATAGATTCAGTGATTGTGTGTTTTGCTCCGTGCATGTGCCCAGTTTTAGGAAAATTTCAGGAATCGCCTTTAGCATGTCAGCGGGCAAGTAACCCATGGCTTGGGAAGTTCACATCAGTGCAATTATTTAGATTAGAATCAGCAAGATTTCTCCATCTGTTCCTTTTCTAATGAGCGTGAAGCTACATGACTATCCTATGGGTCAACCTTATGTTCTGGAAAATTTGGAAGGGAAACTGAAT